CAAAGTAATATAAAAAAGAACAAGCCACATAGAGATGGGAAATATACAGGGAGTCTGGATCATGTATGTTATTGTGCTGATTTTGAATTTTTTGATTGTTGAAAAGCAAAAGACAGCTGCTAAAAGACATGGGATTGTGAACTGGACTACTAAATGGAACCTATCTAGACACTTTAGGAATGCCTTAACTTAAAAAATAAGTAAAAATATATATTTGTCAAATGGAAATCAGAAATTCTTTTGAGTTTTGTTCCCACAAGAGATGAGAGGCTGTGGATTCCTTCAGGAATAATATGGATCAGGTTTGAACAAGGGAGACCTCCTGAATCTTAACAGATGATATGTATCAACAAAGGTTACTTACTGCTGGTCTTCCCAGGACTTGGTCATTATCTCAAAATTTTCTCAGTGACCCCTGGTGATGCCTTTGCCCACAAACAGCAAGAAACAGTATGGAGAAAACTGCACCCACAAGAGTTGGGGGGTGGGGGTGGTCTGTGGTTATTTGGTGGGTTATGGGTGTTTGTTATAATTTAGGGGAATATAAAAATATAGGATAAAAAGACAACTACTAATCTTAGATATCTTACATTGTCATGGATTTTGATATATAGTGATACAAATTTTAAAAAAATTTGTTATACTGTATATATGTTTTTATACTTATTTAAATGATTTTTATATATTGATACAAATTTAAGGTTATTTTTGTTACAACATATTGTATGTATGTTTCTTCTCTTCTTTAAGGTATTGTACCTATGTAGTTCATTTAAAATATAAGGTGAAGTTCTAATTTTTGAAAGCTATTAATATAAACTATTTAGGATAATCAAGAACCATAGGTTAATAGTTAGCTATCTATAACTATCAAATTTATAGATATGTTAGGTATGTTTTCAGGATCATATAGAGATATATTTTAGATAGATGGTCTTCAAATACTTCAAAGACCTATAGAATGTGGCATTTAAAATGTTTTCTTAACATAAGGTTTTTCATGACAATGAGACACATCTTCTCCTGGCAGCACCAATTCACTTCAGAGATGGTGGGCATTGAAGAAATTCCTTATGGAGTTTGCTTTCAATGTGGCAAGGCTAGCCATTTGGGTAAGAAACTGCTTTTTCCTTGACTGCTTGACTATATATTATATAAACTGTACATGCAGGACCCACAGGGAAATGACTGCTAGACTTTGCCAAGACAAGGTAGAACAGCCCTTCAGAAAATCCTACTTCACAGATAAGTCTATCAGATATGCTAGGTCTGTAGGCTGAAGATAGATGCTCTAATTGCAGAGGAACCTTAGGTGAGTGTCCAGACAGCCAGCTATTTCTGTCATTTCTTACAATTTT